AGATAGATAGATAGATAGATAGATAGATAGATAGATAGATAGATAGATAATCAATACTGATAGATATAGACATGGAGATAGAGATGGATGGATATAGAAAGATAGATGGATAGATCAATCAATTGATAGATATAGAAAGAGATAGAGAGATATAAAGATAGATGAGATAGATAAAGATAAATAGATATATAGACGATAGATAAAGAGAGAGAGAGAGAGAGAGAGATGGATAGAGATAGATGGATATATAGATGATAGATAAAGATAGATAAAGATATAGACAAAGATAGATAGATAGATAGATAAAGATAGATAGATAGAGGCATAGAGATGGATAAAGATAGATGCATAGATGATAGATAAAGATAGATAGATAGATGATAGATAGATGTAGATGTAAGCATAGAGATGGGTGGATGAATAAATGGATGGATATAGAAAGATAGATGGATAGATAGATGGATAGATAGATGGATAGATAGATAAGATAGATGTAGATATAGACAGACATAGAGATGGATGGATGGATGGATATAGAAAGATAGATGGAGAGAGAGAGAGAGAGAGATGATACACTAATAACATAACATAACATAACATAATAGAATACATTATATATATTATAAAATATTATATATACATATACACCTATAGAGATATACATATAGACACACACACACACACACACACATTATATAATTGATAAATAAATAGTAATAATTTGGAAGCAATCAGACCCTCTCCAAGCCAGCCAAGACAACTAAGCCTTCGGCAGGGAGGTTCAGGGTTCAAAAAGCAACCCCGAGGAATTGGTGGCCACTGTTCTCTGGGCATGTGCACAGTGCTTTTCCCCCCTCAAGAGCGTGGTCCTAGATCCCCACTTAAATTTATATCCCCGTGATACTGCCCCATCCTCAGGGGCGGGTTTCCATTTTTTTGTTATATGCGGAAATTTGTCAAAAATTTCCACTACCGGTGCACCAGAACTGGTCCGAACCGGCTGAATGTCACCTCTGCCCATCCGTGCCCCTTCCACTCAACATCAGACAAGCCCCCCTCCCGCCACCTTCGCTCACCCCGGGCGTCTCCGCAGGGCTGTTGGTTGCATGTCTCCATCTGGACGGCATCTCCGGGACATAGCTGTCCACTGTTCTTGGGCGGGGGGTCAGCGCAGGTCCGGGTGCGACTTCGGACACCGCCCCGGCATTCTGCATCGCAATCTGACCATTCGCCCCAGGCGGCCCAGGCTCCATTCACTGGTATAGAGGGGGAGGAAGCAGGAGGAAGTAGCGTCGTGAAGACCAAACGAAGAAGTCGACTCCTCGAGTGACAGCCGCGACGGTGCCCGAAATGTGGCTAAAGGAAACGTTGGCCAAGGACGTTTTGCCCAGGGCGGGTTTAGGCTGCTACCAGTTTGCACCGGTTTGGGCAAACCGGTTGCTAATTTTACCTCTAGTTCATCGAACCGGTAGTTGCAACAACTAGCTGGCCCACCTCAGCCCGCCCCTCCTAGGAGTCTCCATGCGGCCCGTTTTGGATCGCAGAGAAGTGCAGGGTTCCGGAAGGCTGGGGAGTGGGGAAATGAGCCTCCTGGATTTCACCCTCCAGAGCAGTGGTCGCCCACTGGTGGTCCATGAGAAAATGTTGGTGGCCCACAGAGAAATGTCACTCCCCCAAAGCAATTGATCCAGGCTGAGTGGGAACACAAGGCTGCGCCACCCACATGGCCTATGGGAACTGAAGGGTTACGTCGCTTGCATTGCAAGCAACAGGATGTAGTGAGGGGAGGGGGGAAAGGGCGGAGTGGAGGAACTTGCCCCACATGCCCCACACGCCTGGCCTGGCCACCGGGCTGCTTCTTTCCACTTTTTTCTTCTTCTGCTTTTGGCTGCACGCTAGGAAAGCAGCCAAAGTCTTTCTTTCTCTCCCCCAAACTCCACCAGAAATGTGCCTTTGGGACCCTGCATGGCCTCCTGCTCCGAGAGGCTGCACCAGCACCATAAGTCTCCTAAAGACTCATTTCTGGCTGGGATTGAGGGGAGAGAAAGAAAAGGCTTCCAGGGCTTCTGCTGCTTTTCTTGCACAAAGCCAAAAGTCTCTCCTCTCTCTCTCTCTCTCTCCTCTGAGAATGGAGCTGGAGATGGTCTCCTGCGATCCCAAATAAAGAACGATCGATCGGTAGGAAAAACGGGGTGAGGGATTTTCCTGCAGACTTTTTTTTGGGGGGAGGATTTTCCCAGGGTCTCTGCTCCACAGGATTCAAAATGATGGTTTGGTGGTCCCTGAGGTCTGAAAGATTGGCAACCGCTGCTCCAGAGGCTCCAGGAAAGCCTCTGGAGTCCGGGAAGGGTGAAAACGCACAGCCTCCCGCTGTGGGGCAGAAGGCTGACTAGGCCACACCCATCATGGCCCCTCCCACCTAGCAACCTGACAAAGAACCACTTGTTAAATTTTTTGGAAGCCTGTCCCTGGTTTGCCCCCCCACCATTGTACAACCTTTTCTGGCCTGGTTGTTAAACAAAACATGGTTTTGGTGGAATTCAGAACGTGGTCGCTCCTGCGCATTGGGACTTCAAACTTTGACTTTGCAAGTCATATGGTCACAAGAGGGGATCGTGGCATAGGAACCGATGGCCAAGGGTCTGAATTTGGATCCAGTTATCGTGGGGAAGCGAGGGTCGTAAGTGCAAAAACCGGTCCCTTTGTTCAGTGCTGTCGTCATAACTTTGAATAGTCATTAAATGAACTGCCATAAGACGAAAGGCTTCCTGCATAATGTTCTTCCTGCAGAACGTCTGCAATGACTTCAATTTGTATTTGCATTTATATACACCGTTTCCCTGAAAATAAGACCCAATTGGAAAATAAACCCTATCATGATTTGTCAGGATGCTCATAATATAAGCCCTACCCCCCAAAATTATCCCCAGTTAAGATTGTCAGCCAGACAGATGCATTCGGAACTGTATTTCCCCCAAAATAAGATCTAACCAGAAAACAAATCCTAGCCTGATTTTTTCAGGATACCGTAATGTAACCCCTATCCCGAAAATAAGCCCTCATTCAGATTGTCAGCCAGATGCATTTAGTACCATACTTTCCCTCAAAATAAGCCCTAACTGGAAAGTAAGCCCTAATGCATCTTTTGGAGCAAAAATTAATATAAGACCATGGTAAATGTATATATACAGTAGAAAATATTAGCCTTAATGTTTTTTTCCTCAGAACAGTTCAGGTGGAGGCCAGCTTTTTGCAAAGCCTGTGAATAGGGGTGAGGGGGTGGGAGAAGGATTTGGATTTACCATCCACCAAAGGAGCACGGGTGGAAGAGAAAAGACCGACCTGGACAGGCTCGGAGAAAGCAGGAGCGACTGTCAAATTCATCGCGCTCACAACGTCCTCCCGGGAGAGCATTGCGGAGAAGGTCGCGGCGCCGGAAGGTTACGCCCAGCCCGCAGGACCGGCTGCATTCGCTCCAGAGGCTCCAAGGAGACAGGATGCAGTCCACTGTGGAGGAGGAGGAGGAGGAGGAGGAAGAAGAAGGGGAGGAAGAAGAGGAGCAGGAGGAGGAGGAATGAATAATAGAAGGGGAGGAGGAAGAAAAGGAAGAAAAGGAAGGAGGAGAATGAGGAGGAAGAGGAAGAAGAGGAGAAGGGGAGGACAGCAAGGAGGAACAAGAATGAGAGGAAGAGGAGGAGAAAGAGAAGGAAGGGGATGGAGGACAAGGAAGAAGAGGAAAAGGAAGAGGAGACGAAGAGAAAGAGGAGGAGGAAGGAAGTGAAAGAGAAAAAGGTGGAACAGGAAGAAAAATAGTAAGTAAAGGGGGAGGAAGCAAAGGAGGAGAAGAACAAGGAAGGAGGAGGAGAATGAGGAGGAAGAAGAGGAGAAGGAAGAGGGGAAGGGAAAGAAGAGGAAGAGGAAAAGAGGAGAAGGGAGGAGGAAGAGGAAGAAGAAGAGGAATAATAATAAGAAAAAGGGGAGGAAGAGAAAGAGGAGGACGAAGAAGAATAATGGGAAAAGGAAAACAAAGAAGAAGAGGAAGAAGAAGAATGAGGAGGAGAACAAGGAAGAATAGGAAGAAGAAGAGCAGGAGAAGGAAGAGGTGGAAGAGCAGAAGGACAAGGAAATAGAGGAAGGGAAGAAGAGGAGGAGGAGGACGAAGAAGAAGAGGAAAGAGAGAAAAAGGGAGAAGAGGAGATGAGAAAGCGGAGGAGGAGAAGCAAGAGGAGGTGTGGGAGGAGGAGGAAGAATAAGGGAAGGAAGAGGAGCAGGGGGATAGAAAATAAAGCTATCGTGGTTGCAAAATCAGGACAAACGCCAGCCATACCCTGGAGCAGTGCCCAGTTCAATGCCAGCTCTGAACTTTGGTAGAGCCCAGATTTCCCCAGCAAACACCTTTGGGGTGCGGGCAATGGTGGGATTCAACTGGGTTGCACCCCTTCGGCTGAACCGGTGGTTAAATTGCTGGCTGGCCTCTCCCCTCCACTACGCACCCCTTCCAGGAGTCCCCACACACCCTGTTTTGGTTCCCAGATAAGTGCAGGGTGGCCAACTAGGCCCAAAATAGGGGGTGAGTTGGGGGTGAGGGTGCGGCACCTCCCTTTCCCAGGGCCTGTTTTGGCTCCCAGGAGGCTACAGGGAGGCCTACTAGGCCCAAAACAGAGTATGGCCCGTTTTGGCTC